AACTTACTATTTCATTTAAATGTATTTCTTGCCCTTTTTTAAGAATGTTTTAAGCCATTCACTTCTTCTATGCTTTATTTCAGGATTTACTTTCTGTATCTTCATTAGAAGTTTTATTTCTTTTTGAACATAAAACAGTATGTTTCAACTTTCTTATATTTCAGATATGCATACCATGTGTCAGACCAAGAAGTTATCACAAAAAAATGGCATTCTTGAGAGAGAATTATCCCAGTGGGAAATAATGGAAATTTGTAAAAACTGCAGCCTTGAATGTTTATGTTTTAGAGGTGATTGGGAAGGCCAAGGTCTGTGTCAAACACAACAGGAAAATCGGGTGGACTATTTCAAGCAGGTGGTACTCACCTTTGAAAAAATGCCCACTTTTAACCAGCACATGGCTTTTAATCTACATCAGAGACTTAATATAGGAGAGAAACCGAATGAATATAAAGAATGTGGGAAAGCCATTAGTTCTGGCTCAGACCTTACTCAACACACAGGTGAGAAAGTCTGTGAAGATAAGGAATGTGGGAAGATCATTCTTCTAGATTCAGAACTTATTCAGTATCAGACAGTTCACACTGTTAAGAAAACATATGAATGTAAAGAATGTGGGAAGGCTTTTAGTTTGCGTTCAAGTCTTACTGGTCATAAGAGGATCCATACGGGTGAGAAACCTTTTATTTGTAAGGAATGTGGGAAGGCCTTTAGGTTTCATTCGCAACTTAGTGTCCATAAGCGAATTCATACTGGTGAGAAATCTTATGAATGTAAGGAATGTGAGAAGGCCTTTAGTTGTGGCTCAGACCTTACTCGACATCGGAGAATTCATACCGGTGAAAAACCCTATGAATGTAATGAATGTAGAAAGGCCTTTAGTCAGCGATCACATCTTATTAAACATCAGAGAATTCACACTGGTGAAAAACCTTATGAATGTAAGGAGTGTGGGAAAGCTTTTACTCGTGGCTCACACCTAACTCAACATCAAAGAATTCATACTGGTGAGAAGTCTCATGAATGTAAGGAATGTGGAAAAGCCTTTATTCGTGGTTCCAATCTTGCTCAACATCAGAATGTTCATTTTGGTAGGAAACCCTATAAATGTGAGAAATGTGGAAAAGCCTATATCTGGAGCTCACACCTTGCTCGGCATCAGCGAATTCATACCAGTAGGAAACCTTATGAATGTAAGCAATGTGGAAAGACTTTTATCTGGGCTTCATATCTCGCTCAGCATGAGAAAATTCATGAGAGGAAACAGTATGAGTGTAAGGACTGTGGAAAAACCTTTCTTCATGGCTCAGAGTTTAATCGACATCAGAAAGTTCATACTGGTGAAAGAAATTACAAATGTAAGGAATGTGAAAAGACCTTTTTTCGTGGTTCAGAACTTAATCGACATCAGAAAATTCATACTGGAAAGAGACCATACGAATGTGAAGAGTGTGGAAAAGCCTTTCTCTGGAGTTCACAACTTACTCGACATCAGCGAATGCACACAGGTGAGGAACCTTACGCATGTAAAGAATGTGGGAAATCCTTTATCTGGGGCTCACAGCTTACACGACATAGGAAAGTTCATACTGATGCAGAATCCTATGAATGTAAGAAAAGTGGCCAGATCTTTAGTCACCATTCCCATTTATATTTTACTGAACAGAAAATTCACAATGGTGAGAATGTCTGTGAATGGACAGACTATGGAAACACCTTTACTCATGACTCAAACTTTACTCAACACCAGAATATTTACACTTTTGAGAAATCCTGTGAGTATAAAGATGTTGAGAAGGTATTTTCTCCGAGCTCCCACTTTATTTCACCCTTGTGAAATCATATGCTATAAAGATATATGAAAGGCTTTTATTCATGACCCATCAACTAATGTCATTAATTTCTTCTCTTGAGAAACCCCACAAATATAAGTAATATTGGAAAGCCTTTTGCCAGGACACACAATACATACAACAGTAGAGAATTCATAATGCAAATAAAAGTGCTCAATGGTAATCAATTATGGAATATCAGGGTAAAATTTTATGAGATAATGTGAATTAATTATTCTCAAAACATTCTCATCAGGGATGTTATGTTGCATAAAGAATTTAATTCATGTAGGAAACCTTTCATCCATACCAAAATCTTAACCACGCTGTCACAAAAATCATACCAGAGGCTAATTTTTGTTATATAATTAATCTAGAAAAGCCTTGAACTATGTCATACAACTTACTTGGTTTGTCCTGGTTTCAACACATATTACATATTTTCTGGAAAGTAACTTATGAGATTTAAGTGACTTAATGACTATCAGTATTGGTATTAAATAGCCATTTCTATGAGAGGACTTTAAGAGTATAAGAATTACAGACAAATGTCACCTCTATTTGCATCTTACTGAACAGCAGAATGTTAATTCTGAAGAAAAACCAGTAAAACATAGTGTAAGAAAGCCTTGAACCACTATTAATTTCATTTGCTGCATCAAAAAAATTCATACTATAAAGAAAGCCTTGGAAGTTGGGTTATTGAGTGTTCGGCAATTTTATTTTTAATAGACATTCGAAAAGTGATTTGGTTCTCGCAAATGTCTAAAGCCAAGTGTCATATGATCCATTTTTTCACCATGGTTAAAATTCAGAGATTAGCAAATATATAGCTGAATGAATTCTGACCTTTTGAAAATTTAGCACTATTTATATAAACAATTATTGGATTAAAGAGGAAATAAAAATGAAATTACAGACTGTTTAGATGTGAATGATAATGAGACCCCTATATTTCAGATCCTATGAATGTGACCAAAACAGTTAACAGAAATTGCTCTATATATAAAATCAAGAAGATTGAGGACAGTTTATCACCACTGTATCTCCAGCATTTAATATAGTGTCTGTACCACTGTAGGATGCCAAATATTTACTGAATTAAATAATGATAACTCAGCAAGCTAGAATAAGAACAAATGCCCCATATGGATGGAGGGAAAGGCTTGATGAAAATAAAGCAGAAATCATGGCTTAACAGGATTTTACCAAAGTCTGTTTCTTTGAAGAAAACTATTTACTAGGCTTTGTCAATGCCTCTATCATGTTATGATAAAAGGAGAAATGGGATATATGTTTAAAGGATATATATTTTATAATGATAATGCAAATATGTAAATTATGTGTTAGATATGATTTTTATTATATAGATGGCTTACCTTCTAGTAAAACATTATTAAATGATTTTCAAAAAATAACAAAAAGTCCAAAAAGTAGGAAAAAGCTTTTTAAAAATCATGTAAGACTAGATAATTGTACAGGACACACCCTAAAGAGAACAGAAAATCCTATAGAAAATTACCCAGCTTCTACTAAAAGACTAATATAATTCTTACAATAAAATTATCTTTCAGATACAGTCTTGGTATATTGCCCAGGCTGCAGTGCCATGGCGTCACACTAGCTCACAGCAACCTCAAACTGCTGGGCTCAAGTGAACCTCCTGCCTCAGCTTCCCGATTGGCTGGGACCACAGGCGCAAACTACCACACCCAGGTTTTGTTTTTTTTTTTTTCCTATTTTTAGGAGGGACCAGGTCTTGATCTTGCTCAGGCTGATCTCAAACTCCTGAGTTTAAGCTATCCTCCTGCCTCAGCCTCCCAGAGTGCTAGGATTATAGGTGTGAGCCACCAAGCCAAGCCTTTGCAATAAAATTAGACTGAGGTAGCTCTTGAATGTCAAATTCCAGAAAAATTTCATTCATGAAGGTATGTGAATAAAACTAGAGCTCAGCATTTAATCAAAGAATAAAATGGTACTAGATATTTACCTAGAATGTTTAACCTCTGATCCGAAGTCAAATTTTTGTAATTTATGAAATTTTACTATTTGAGGAAAATAATTTGTTATATAACCTTATAATAAATGAGCCATTTTCACTCATGGTGACTAGATTTTTTTTTTAAGTTGATAAGTACACTGAGAAAAATAACATTTACAAGTTATTTGGTGAAACTCGGTCCATGCATATACAGATAAGTATGGTTCATTCCTTTTTTCTTTGGCCCAAACTGCCTTGTTGAGTTTGCTGTCAGTGTGCATAGCTGGTTTTCACATATCCTTCACGGTGAATTTCTGGATCTCCGTGAATGCCTGAGGTTGATGCCTTTTGAACCCTACTCCACCTATATATTAATGTTGATAATGTCTTTCTGAGACTGCCTAAATTATCACAAAACACCTGTTCATTTCTCCCTAACCACCTCTGGTTGCAGGAACCATTCTGCTGACAAAGGACTTTTTAATAATTAGTGTTGGTAAAGCTGGATAACCTTTTGAAAAGATAAAATTGCAGTGTAAAACTGAACAAATTCCAAATTAAACAAGCGATCTAAAGGTAAAATAAAACAAAAACAACCCTGACCACTACTAGAAGAAAACAAGGGTGAATTCCTTTCCAGCACTGCTGTGGGGAGATCAATCACCATGACTAAAAATGCAATAAAAATGAGAAATGTTCATGTTTTAGTCCTACAAAAATTGACAAAAATGAAAATGAGAGATATTTGCAACTTAAATGACAGATTGATATACTTAATACATATAAACAATACAAAGTTGAGATAAAGACCTTACAGCCTGATACACAACTAGTCAAAAGGCCAAGAACTGCACAAACCCAGATACGAACCACAAGGAAGGGAGGCTGCCTGGGCCACACGGCCCAAGCGGAAACGGGAAGACGCTCACCAGTAGGAAAGCTAACAGCTAACTGGAAAGGACTCCGCACTGCCTCCCCGCAGTCCATAAGACACATTTCTCCCACCACACGCAAAAAAACACTCCCACGGAATCACACAAACACACGGGCACACGCAGTCCCTTCCTAAGGCTACCTGTTCTGCCTCCTGCCAGGAAGCCCCGCTGGGCACAGGGGCCACAACGTTGACGGAGACCAACCACCACAGCGGTGTAGCAGCAGTGCATCCAATGCTGAGTCCTGGCGCTCCCGACCAGGTTTCTTGGGCCCCCTTGGTCCTCCGCCGCTCCTGGGCTCCGGGCCCATGGCCTCCAATCTCCCGAAAAGGCAGCCCAGGGCCCAGCAGCGAACCATGGCGACAGAGGTCTCCCGCTCCCCAAAGCCTCAGGGACACAGTCACTAGGCAACGGCGGCGGTCTCTGTGACGCCAGGCGCCAGACCCCAGGCATGGTCATCCCCAAGCACACACGCACTTACAACGGCGGCACGGAACCCCGGAAGTCAGGCTTTGGCAGCCATGCCCCCTCACACCCCCGGGGAAGCGCGGTTGGGATGCAGCCTGAGCTGCGGGTGGGGTGTCCGGCAGGGGGAAGAAGGCTGCGGCGGCGACCGAGGGTCAGACCCTAACCGTACTGTGCTCTGGACCCCTTGGAGCCCCGCTCTAGGTAGCCTCCCAGTGGAGGCCCAGCTTCAGGCTGAGGACAAAACGCTGGCCCTCCCCTTTGGATCCGATTTCCTGATGGGTGGTGGGAGTGAAATGTGGCCAGGGTAGCTGGGCTTGTTGGCGCACCTCAGATTACCAGAGTCCCCGAGGGCAGGGGTCAGCTGACAATTTGCTGATCCTAGTGTCCGCTGCTGGCTTGTATGGGACCTGGGCCTTCTAGGTATTGCCCTGTTCTGAGATGCCAGGGGCTCTTGTTTGTCCCCACCACTGCTCAGCAAAACGGGAAAAACCAACCTAGGAAGTCCAGGGACTGCAAAAGTGACCACGGCTAGGCCAGTGGGGGGAATGGGATCCCAGAAGGGCAGGTGGAGCGAAGCGGCTGTTTCAGAAGCAGGTCTGGGTTATTCCCAGACTGACAGTGACCACAGGTCTGCTCCCAAGGAGCACTAAAGGCCCTGAAAAAGTCAAGGAGAATCCAGACATACGTGGGACCACACAAGCCCTGCGCTGGAGTCCCAGGCAAGAGCAGGGAATCTTGCCAGAAAGCAAAAGAGCTCTCTGAAGAGTGAAAACAGCCCCACCTTCAACAACTCCGAACACCACGAATCCCCC